CCCCCTGGGGCTCAATTTATCTGGAGGAACACGCAGCTTAAAAAATACCAACTGTGATTGACATCTCTAACCTTCATTGGAGTGTAATCTTCATCTTTAGCATCCAGAGATCTAATTAATTAGGAAGAATCTCATTTCCTCACTAATGCAACTGGACATGAGCATGACAGAGAGGAGGAGGATGAGGAGGAGGAGGGAGAGGAGGAGGAAGGGTTAGGGTTTACTTTGATTAGACCTTAATATTATTTTATATTCTGTTTTTGTTTGACTCGTTTTTAAATGTTTTGTGGAAGATAAACTGAAGCTTTCTGGGCGAGGCTCCGTGTTAAAGGTAGTTTTAATAAATAAATAAAGTCTTTCTATATCTTGTTTCAGGTTAGTTACAATCACATACATTTTTTCTGTTGGATAAAAACCACAATAATGAGAGAAAATGGCAGATTTGTTTATTTCTGTCTTCAGATTCAGAAGTTTACATACGCCTCCTGCAGTGATTCATGAAACATGCCTGCATAAATATGGACAGATTAAATGTGTTGTCAGCTGAACTGTCCATCTGTTAAAAGTGATTTGATTCTGATGGGAGTTCCTGAGGAATTGAAGGTCATCAATCAGAGCTGTGATTGGAAATCGGAGGGATAAACAGGAAGTGTGGATGTTTAAGTGTTAGCCTCACAGCGGTGGAAGCTCCACCAACACAAACGTCTTCTGTAATCAGCGCCTCGTTAAGGTGAAATAATCCGCCTGACGAAACTGAAGGTCAACAGCACACACGCCCACGTTTAGAGAAAAACAGAGAAAATCAGCGTTCAGGATGAAAACCTGACATTTTGCCTCCTTTCGAGGCGTCAGGCTGCATCATAATTACAGAAAGTCATATTAGACTAATTAGAATATTTCAAAATGCTTGAATAGAAAAGCTGACTGCTGAGCTTCTGTCTACAAAAACCCAGAACTGGAGACAAAATCTGCAACATTTCAATCCAAAAACTGTTTTGCTGCTGAATTATAAATCTCAATATGAGCTCAGCATCAAATATATTAATAGTTTATGATCTGTTCTCAGGTTGTTCATGGAGCTTCTTCAGGGATCTGGACTGTGGATGCTAACTTTAGCGTTAGCTGCTACAAGTTTAGCATGTAGATGCTATTTAGCATAGCATTTGGGTTGGAAGCAGAAATGAACCCAGTTGGCTGAGAGGAGACGCTTGAATATAAATGCTCCAGCTTGGAAAAACTGACTTAGAGTTTAAATTTTAACATGTTAAAATCTACATAATTAATTAATCAGAATTGACACATTAAAAAAAAACGTTTCCATAGAAAAACTGACTTTGGTTCATTTTTCCTCCATCAATATTTTCTGAACTTTAAAATCAGGATTATGAAAGATGATCAAGCAGAAGCTGTTGACACCTGCCGGCCTCGGGCCCGGCCCCCGCGGCCCCGCCCCTTGGCCCCGCCCCCGCCCCCCGTGACCCCGCCCCTCTTGGCCCCGCCCCCGCCCCCGTGACCCCGCCCCCGCCCCCGTGACCCCGCCCCCGGCGGCCCCGCCCCCCGTGACCCCGCCCCCCGCGGCCCCCGTCAGCCGGCCTGATCAACGTCTCCACGCCGCCGTTCCTCCCAGGACAGGATCTCCAGCCGCTCGTCTCCTCACACCTTTCCAATCTCCACATCATAATTGGTGAATAAATGGCTGTTTACAAACTGAAGTGTACATCAAAATCTGCGGTAATGAAATCTTATCAATGTTTTCCGAACGCTGAATTATTTGCATATAAATGACATAATATATTAAGTCTCTCCGGCCTCTACCTGGGAGGAGTAAATATTTCCGCTCTGCTTTGTCTCGTCGGCGCGACACCAGGAAACGAGACGCTAATTGAAGAGAGGAGAGCATCTTTATGTGAAGACTGACATTCAATTATGTTTGTGGGGATCAGATTAGGTGGCGGCCCCAGAAATGTTTGAAAGCAACATTTTGCGGAGCAGCAACTCCGGAGGCGGCTGTAATCTGAATAGCCGAGGCGGCGCCGAGCGCGGCGCTCTGACTGGAGCGGCTTCGCTGCGACCCGCCGGTAATTGGATGTCCACAGTGAAGTGTTGACAGGAGTGGGAGACGAGGCTGACAGAAACAAAGAGAGGCAGGAAGACAAAGGAGAAACCAGAAAAAACAAGAAATCAATGTGAAGAAGAGGCCGACGAGGAGGATGAAGGAGCCGGAGGAGATCACAGCGTTTGTTCCTGCAGGGAAGCGTTTCTGTCATCAGGCATTCAGCTCACAGGCCAAACAAGCCATTACACACGACGAGCTTCCTTATCGGACCGCCGCCATCAGCAGGCCACCGCCATCAGCAGGCCGCCGCCATCAGCAGGCCGCCGCCATCAGCAGGCCGCCGCCATCAGCAGGCCGCCGCCATCAGCAGGCCGCCGCCATCAGCAGGCCGCCGCCATCAGCAGGCCGCCGCCATCAGCAGGCCACCGCCATCAGCAGGCCGCCGCCATCAGCAGGCCGCCGCCAAGGTCGCTCATGTCACCCAGCAGCCATAATTACCTCTGTTTTATCTGCATTTATACCGTCGCAGCGCAAACGGATAACACAACATAAACATGTTTACAGTGCAGAGGACTGAAAATGATCTGATCTGATTACAGCTCAGCACAGAAACGCAACAGGAAGTGGATTACAGACACACTCAGAAACACACATTCACCTTCAGAAGCAAAACCACCCAAACTCCCCAGGAGCTTTGTGATGTCACACCTGATGACATCACAGGTCACCTGCTCGCAGCAGCAGCCACCAGTCCGACGCTTTGAACAGGAAATGATCCGTGTTCATGTTCAGTACAAATCACAGCAAAGCACGAATAAATCAACATGACAATAACAACAAAAATAAAGTCATAATGAAACAAAACAATGCAAGAAAATGAGACTAAAGTCCAACACCAGAATAAAGTCCCTTTGACACCAAAACGCAGCAAGTTTCTACAGGAAACTTGCTGCGTTTGTGTCGTTTCCTTCCTGCAGCCAACAGCATCACAGCAGCAATGTGAGCTCCAGGAACATCCTCCATAACTGCACAGCTTCTCAAAACAAAATATAGAAAACTAAATATTTATCCTACAAGTGAAAAGGTTTGCCAGAGAAATGGCTGTTTCTTATCAATATTCAATAATTATTGCCCTAAAACAGGCTGCAGTGTGCTGCTTGTTGGGCTTATTTCTACTGTACCAAGATGTTTGAATGCACTGCAAACTGTGCTCTGTAGCGCCGCCCCGGAGGTAAAAGAAGGAACAGTTTGCGTCCAGGGTGTGTGGGGTTTGCAGAGATGTTAGCTGAATATTCAGCTAGAACAACTCAACAAAGTTTAACTCTGAGACAAATATTAAGGACATATTTGATCATCTGAATATAATCTGGCAGATTAAATCTGTTCAATAAACCCAAGACGAGGAACCGAGTCAAACTGGACCAGAACCGCGTCACGTTTTCCTGATGATGGATTTCTAGCGACCCACTCCTGAAAACATCCAGAATTATAAAAGCACAATATCCTACGGAGGATTTTCAGACGATCTCTAATTACCCATTATTACCCCCCCGCCCCACGTCAGGCAACAGGTGAGGCTTTTAGTGACGTCTGGTTTTAATGGCTTCCTGTAAATGATAACAGCTCTCCTGGAGCTTTCTGAGCTCATAAAGCCAAACTCGTCAGAGCAGAAATATTAGCTGTCAAACACGACCGCCTGGCATCGATCCGACCGCGGGGCAAAAGCAGCCGGGGTGGGGTAAAGCAGGGAGAGGGGGGAATAAATGTGCATATTTTATCCGGGTGGAGAAAACCGTAAGAGCTTCAGCTGATTTCTGTGACAAAATTGATTTTCCAATCTTCCTTAGATTGCTTTCCTGTTCCTGTGCAGCTCAGGTGTCGACAGAAACACTCAGAGCTGAACGATGTCAGGCAGTTTCAACAACATATTCCACACAAACTGTTTTCTCCACTTCTTCTGGAGGGAAAGTTACTTTTCCTCAGTCGCAGTGAAGCACAGTGATGGCCGTCATGTTGACAAGAGTTTCAGAAGGAAGAGTCCAGAAATCGCAGATTATTTCTCAAATTTCAGGAATAAATGGCTGAAACCCGCCAGGCTGAAACCCGCCAGGCTGAGACCCGCCAGGCTGAAACCCGCCAGGCTGAGACCCAGGCTGAAACCCGCCAGGCTGAAACCCGCCAGGCTGAGACCCGCCAGGCTGAAACCCGCCAGGCTGAGACCCGCCAGGCTGAGATGTTTGAATGGACCTTAAACCGACTGGCTGTCCTGGGATTTTCTGCATTCATGCAGACAGAACCAGAGTAACCGGGTCGGGTTTATGGCTCTTCCTCTGGGGTTTGGTTACAGCCTGACATGGAGCAAATAAATGATCTCTGTAAATCTAACGAACCAACAACATGAGAAGTTCAAGCTGCTTTCTGAGCTTTTCTCTGATATTCTTCCTTCCTGAACGAAGCAGTGCTGCAGCTCCACAAGCCGGATCCGGCGGTTCTGATTGCATCTCGTTTCTTTGTATTCTAATCAATTACTCCTCCGTTTAGCGGTTTGCGGCGTCTCAGAGATGGGCTCATCAGGCCACTTAGCCGCCATGCTGGCAGCAGTTCCGGATGGCGGGTTTTCAGCCGGGCTTGTTGGACAGCACCAGGACCGACTGTGTATCAGCTAAATTAAAGCGTTCGCTAAATGTCTGACAACAGCTAATATTCCTCTTCCAGCAGCGAACCCAATCGATGTTCTGGCATTCGTCACCCTGCCAGAAAAGCAATCACGGCGCCGTCTCGCTCCGGTTCGACGGCGACATGGAGAGACGCTCGTCTGGCTCACGCAACACACACACCTGATCCAGACACACACGCCGCTCCGCACAACGCCAAACATAAAGGTCAGCCGTCAGCGCCGTCCACCGGTCCAAACGGGCCTGACTGGGAGCGCCGACCGACTCACCTCCCGGTCCAGTAACGACGGAGAAATGACGGTGACGATGTCGCCTTTCTCTGCGTCGATGTAGAACATGTTGGGCGAAGGTTTGTCCGGCCACTGCCTGATGATGTTGTAGCGCAGCACGGCGTTGTCGGTGTTGGGGTCGTCGGCGTCGAACGCCGTCATGGTCATCACCGTGGTTCCTGAGGGAAACGCAGAGACGGAGGAAATCAAACGGCTTTTCTTCCCAGGAAACAGCAGAAGAAACGCTGGAGGATCCAACACCTGACTGGGCCAGTTTCAAAGAAAAACCTTGAAATCAAACCCAACAAACCAACAGCAGGTTATGCAAGAAAACATGAAAACACAGAATCAACTTCTGAGTTTCAGTTCAGCAAACAAACAAAAAACATGTTCAAAATGTTTCAGTTCCTTTTAGAGTCAGAAGAAACAGCAAACTTCAGACTGAGGAATATAAAATCACATAAAACCCACAGGTCAAAAATATTAAGCCACCATTTGGTTGAGCAACATTTTAAATTACCTGAACAATTGTTAGATTGAATTCAATCTGTTTTCAAAGAAAAGCCACAACAACTAAAGGCACAATTTGTTTCCATGTTAACACACAAACTCATTAACTTTGCTTTAAATGAGCCCAAAGCTGGAGTTTGATGATAACTGACACAAAAATGAAACATTTTGAATTTTGTAAAATTGATCAACACTGTGAGCTTAGTGAGCAACAAACACTGAACACAATGAACTCAGAGCTGATTGTGGGTCCAAAACACTGTTTGGTGATCTAAACATTTCTACTGGAGTCGTGACAAAACCAGAGAAAACAGGAGAGGAGCGAGGAATCAGCTGCAGAGCGATGGAAGGTTATGTGACCAACGAGGAGGTCATGTGACCAATGAGGAGGTCATGCGACCAATGAGGAGGTCATGCGACCAGCTTGACCCTCTTCACAGCGACTGATGCAGCATCACTTGTTAAAATGTTCAATATTAAAAAGATCCTGGTGGATAAAACTAGAAAAAATGTTTCCATCCCATCATATCCTGGTAAAACTACGAGACGAAGCAATAAGAAGAAATCCTATAAAGTTTATTTATCGGACCGAATGATCGGCTGATCACACACACACACAGACACACACACACACACACACACACACACACACACACACACACACACACACACACACACACACACACACACACAGAGACACACACACACACACACACAGACAGAGACACACACAGACACACACACACACACACACACACAGAGACACACACACACACAGAGACACACACAGACACACACACACACACACACACACAGAGACACACACACAGAGACACACACACACACACACAGAGACACACACACACACACACAGACACACAGACACACACACACACACACACACACACACACACAGACACACAAACACACACACAGACACACACACACACACACACACACACACACACAGACACACACACACACACACACACACACACACAGACACACAAACACACACAGAGACACACACACACACACACACACACACACAGACACACACAGAGTGAGGCGGCTCGGCGGCGCCACCAGGGGATCGACAAAGTGAAAAACTGAGATGAAGCCAGACGACACAGACCAGATAGAGAAAGAAGAGTGAACTGATGCTGGAAGGACTGGCAGAGCGCAGACGGCGTTGGATTGCATAGAATGTCAGAGTGGAATTTCTATTTCAATTATCCATCTTCTAAAAGCAGGAATGGGATTTCTCTTAATCAGAATGAAGGCAGGGAAAAGACCAAAGGCTGATCCAATCCAATCCAAGGTGTGAATGAGATCAAAGGAAGTTCAAAGACGGATCGTCTTCTCCGACATGAATTACCAACGCTGAAACGCAGGATGCAGCGGAGATGAGCCGAGATGAAACAGAGAAAATTACAGGAACAAGAGAACGGTGGGAGGAAACGCTGCAGCACAAACCGCCTCTCCACCTGGAACTCGCTGCAACTCCCGTCATGCATCTGCAGCGTAAAAATATCTGGGTATGAATCCACAGAAACTCCTGGCAGAGCTGCTCATATTTCCCCAGCAGCAGCCGCGTTGCTGCAGCAGCCGAGACAAAAACTGCATCATCCTGACATAAAATCCACTTATGACATCAATTATTCATAAATATAAAGAAACAGGCAGCAAAATAACTTTAATTTACAAAAAATGGCAGCATCACAGACCTGTCTCCTGCAGCATCGCAGACCTCTGCAGCATCACAGACCTGTCTCCTGCAGCATCACAGACCTCTGCAGCATCACAGACCTGTCTCCTGCAGCATCAGACCTCTGCAGCATCACAGACCTCTGCAGCATCACAGACCTGTCTCCTGCAGCATCACAGCTCTCTGCAGCATCACAGACCTCAGCAGCATCACAGACCTCTGCAGCATCACAGACCTCTGCAGCATCACCTCTGCAGCATCACAGACCTGTCTCCTGCAGCATCACAGACCTGTCTCCTGCAGCATCACAGCTCTCTGCAGCATCACAGACCTGTCTCCTGCAGCATCACAGACCTCTGCAGCATCACAGACCTGTCTCCTGCAGCATCGCAGACCTCTGCAGCATCACAGACCTGTCTCCTGCAGCATCACAGACCTCTGCAGCATCACAGACCTGTCTCCTGCAGCATCAGACCTCTGCAGCATCACAGACCTCTGCAGCATCACAGACCTGTCTCCTGCAGCATCACAGCTCTCTGCAGCATCACAGACCTCAGCAGCATCACAGACCTCTGCAGCATCACAGACCTCTGCAGCATCACCTCTGCAGCATCACAGACCTGTCTCCTGCAGCATCACAGACCTGTCTCCTGCAGCATCACAGACCTCTGCAGCATCACAGACCTGTCTCCTGCAGCATCAGACCTCTGCAGCATCACAGACCTCTGCAGCATCACAGACCTGTCTCCTGCAGCATCACAGCTCTCTGCAGCATCACAGACCTCAGCAGCATCACAGACCTCTGCAGCATCACAGACCTCTGCAGCATCACCTCTGCAGCATCACAGACCTGTCTCCTGCAGCATCACAGACCTGTCTCCTGCAGCATCACAGCTCTCTGCAGCATCACAGACCTGTCTCCTGCAGCATCACAGACCTCTGCAGCATCACAGACCTGTCTCCTGCAGCATCGCAGACCTCTGCAGCATCACAGACCTGTCTCCTGCAGCATCACAGACCTCTGCAGCATCACAGACCTGTCTCCTGCAGCATCAGACCTCTGCAGCATCACAGACCTCTGCAGCATCACAGACCTGTCTCCTGCAGCATCACAGCTCTCTGCAGCATCACAGACCTCAGCAGCATCACAGACCTCTGCAGCATCACAGACCTCTGCAGCATCACCTCTGCAGCATCACAGACCTGTCTCCTGCAGCATCACAGCTCTCTGCAGCATCACAGACCTGTCTCCTGCAGCATCACAGACCTCTGCAGCATCACAGACCTGTCTCCTGCAGCATCACAGCTCTCTGCAGCATCACAGACCTGTCTCCTGCAGCATCACAGACCTCTGTCTAACCCAAACTGTGAATCCTCTGACTTGTTCTTCACAGCCAAACACAGAAAGGACAAAAAGGGGAGAAATCCTGAGAACCACTGAATGCCTCAGAATGAATCGTGACTGTTTCCTGCTGAAATCGCGTTTCTGTGCGTATGAAGGATCGTGTTTGTATTTCACCATATTGGTAAAGAAACAGCAGCAACAATCTGTGCTTTGATGAAAACTGGGAAACTTCTGGCTCTGCTGTAAGATAAAGTTTTCTGCAACACAAACAGTTTCTGAAAAATTCACATCATCGTGTTTTGTAGCTATGATGTGAATTTTGAAGTTTGATTTTAATTGGAACATTTTTAACCCTTTCATGAGAGTGAATTTGAATGAATTGAGAAGCTTTGGATCCTGAAATCTTTTCGCTGCAGTCGTTCAGAAAACATCTGAGAATAAATGAATAGTAAAAAAGCAACTTTCCTTTTCTTCCTCTGTCTTAAACTAGTTCATTTATTTTCTCATGTTCCTTATTGAAGTCATTTTACAGATGAATTGTGACAAAATTTCTGGGTGATAAATTATTCCAAAGGTCATCCTGTGATGCTTCCTGTGAGTAGAAGCTGATAGTTCAGCTGTTGGTGTTGACCTGCAGCGGCGCTCTGATCTGCGATGTGATTGGTCAGAGGTCAGTTTAGGATGGAAGCCTGCATGTTAGAGAAGCTAACAGAGAGCAGCCGCCATGTCTGTATGCTAATGAGGATCCATATGTAGACAGAGCTACGCTAATGAGGAGAGAAAAGCCACAGACAACTTGAGTCTACGTGATGACAATCACACCATGGTAATGAAATCAACTCTTAGCTTGATAATTGAAAAACTAAATGAGGCGTAAGAAGTCATTTTCAGGAGGGAAACATTCAGAGTGAGACGTGAATGAAAAGCACTTTGCTTCCAGGACTTTCAGATTTTCACCACAGGTTTAATAAACATGCAGGAAACAGAAAACTTCATCCATAAGTTAAGTATTTGAATTCAAGACCATTAAAACATTCTTATCCTCAAATCTAATGACCACTCATTTGATCCTTTTTCTAAACTAATTGAGTTTCGGTTCTCACAACCGAAACGTTGAATATGATCCAGTTTCTGATAAAATGTGAGTCATGAGTTTTTAAATAGAGTTTTTAGATCAGATGAATTATGAAGACAATCATGTTGTGTTGGTGCTTCACTCGTTGGTCAGGATTTCTGTTGGCAGAAGATCGATTTGAGTCCATCGATTTACTTCTAAGTAACGGGGTCAGGTCGCCATGCCAGCTGCTTTCACATTGGTCAACATTTCAATGCAGCTGTTTGTGTTTCTTCTATGTTTAGGATATTGATCATAATTTATCCAACTCATAAATGATCAGCAGAGGAAAACACAGGCGGGATGTTTTAGCGCGGAACCAAGAAGCCGCGTTCTGGAGGGAACGTTTAGAACGTAACACCAGAACAGGACGGAGGACTCCCAGCTCTCACTAAACTCATATTTAGGAATATTAATGTTTCTCCTGCAGCATCAATCAAACTGAGAGGCTTTTCCGACAGAAACTCGTGATGCATTCGGGTTCGGCTGGGACAGCAGGCTG